GTTTGGTTGTGAGTCAGCTTGATTTTGTGGTCTTGAACCTTGTGTCTGTGTCTTGGGAGGATGCTGAGACGGTTGCTGCTGACCATTAGAATAATTTGGTCTAGCAATCGAAGGGTTATTATGATGGGGTCTTTGTTGGGGTCTGTGACCTTGAGCTGGAGGATTTTGAGGGACAAAAGCATTGTGGAGCAATGTATGATGCCTTTGAGAGCAGATAAAACAACCTTTGGTTGCTGGGCAATTGGCAAGAGTGTGTTTGGAACCAAGACAATTAAAGCAGAGTTGTTTTGAATAAACAAAAGTCTTCCTTTCCGAGTCCTGTAAACCTTTAAACTTATTACAAATATAAATTTTGTGAGAGTCTTGATTGCAATATAAGCAGTGTGTAGTGACTTTACTTATATTATTTTGAGCGAACAGAGCAGCGCCAGAGTTTGGGGTTTTGTTTACTTTTCGTTGCCCGTTTTGTGCTGAAGGCACTTCCGTACTTGAGAGATTTTCCAAAGCTAAGCATCTTTTTTCGAGGAATTCAAAAAGGTCATCAAGTTGAGGGAGTTGATTTAAATCGCGCTCATTCTCTAACGCCTTGCGCGTGCCAAAATCAAGTTTTTTTCCCATTAAATATATTATCAAAAATTCCCAAAGCTGTTCGTAAGAATAGTGCAAATTCTTTAAAGAAAGTAAATTTTTTCTACAATTTGTAACAAACTCTCTGAGAGTTTGAGCGTTACATTTACTGAGTGTGTTTTGTTCCAAGAGAGCAACAAAATGAGCGTTTATTACAGAGATTTTGTTTTCATATCGTTTCTGCAATATTTCTAGAGCGATATCAAAATTATCGTTTGTCACAGCCAAGTTTTCAATCAATTTCAATGGTTCGTTTCTCAAAAATGACTTTAAATAAATAAATTTTTGTATTTTACTCAGGTGAGTATTATCAATTATCAGAGCAGAGAAGATTTGAAAAAAGGAAGTCCACTCAGCGGTGTCACCTTTAAAGGGGTTTATATTTATTTGAGGGAGTTTCACTTCCATATGTGGTGGCAAATTCAGCTGTGGCAAACTAGTTTGGCTTATTGGTGGAGTGTTCAGGGTAACCGGAGACAATGTTTTAATACATTTTTGTATCAGAGAGAGAGTATCATAGAATTGATTTTCAACAATATCTCTATTTTCGTTATCATTTGCAGTGAATTCTTCAAGATAAGTTTCAATTTCATCTTGAGTCATTGAGTATTTTTCAAAGTTATCTTTTAAGTTAACTATACGATTTTCAAATTGAGTTGGATCTACTTCAACATCCTTATTGTTTTTCACCCAATTGACAATGCGAGTAATAGCGCTTTTTGCGCGAGTACGGACCTGCTTCATAGCATCAAAATCCATATTGAGAAATAGCCTTTAAATAACTCCACCAATAATAATCAATTAATTTAAAATGAATTAAGAGAGCCAAACAAGCTAATTAATAAATTGTACCTATACAAATCAATACACAATGTACCTATTTACAATATAGAATATTTACAACAGAGAATGTACTTACCAAGTACGAGCAATACAGGGATTCGAGTAGGCAAATTTCAATATATAATAAAAACACAAGTTTTTATTGAGCAGTGTAGAAATGAGAATCTTAAAGCAGTCAGAGATAGAGGCATAAAAAAAAAACATTAAATTTTTTAATTAATTACATTTCAATCAAGGCTTTAATCCGGCTCGAAGGACCAATGTGACGGAACTAGCTATTACCCTTTTGTGGACTCTAGTCATTACCGCACCAGGGATGTCAAAAGTTTTTACTTTGACTGACTGTAAAAATTAACCATTAGGTGTTGGATCATTTAAGCCTTGTATTGAACTAGGGGTGCCTTGATTCTCATTTATACAAATAAAACGCTGAAATAGAATAGTTATCAATTTAATTAATAAATGAAGTTAATTCGGTTTAATCAGCAATCAAATCCTATCTAATAATTCCTATTTGGACGTCCAGTCGAACTACAAATTTTATACTAATCTAAAGTAAATAAGCGAGTAAATAAGTATCTTGATTTATAAAAAATAGTGAAATTTCATAATAATAATATCATTTATGGTTGAATGTTCAAAGAACGAGAACACAAATTAACTAATTTAAATTTACGAGAGCACAACACAAATAATTCGTGAACTTCAATCAGCTCACTGTATTCACAAAATGTTTATAATCCTTGAAGGTTCTTTTGTTTATTGAGAGTTAATAATTTGAGCACTTTTCTGCTGAAGTGTGTAAACAATAAGTGCAAGAAAAGTCTATATATATATGCTCAGTTTCTATATACAAATTTACAAATTAATGTTCATTTCACGAGTGTGAAAACCAAATTTCTGTATTAAAGGTTAGAACAAACACTTCAATTTATAGTGCATTTCAACCGAATCGGTATTCAGTATTTATTAATTTATTGTTCGACTGTTTTGAGAAATTGAAACGGTCTTACTTGCTTAATCCAGTTCATACCGGTAAATCCATATAGTGATTATTTATCCATTTATCACTATTCGTAGTAATTTGCACTGTCAGCTAAGGGATTTTCCACTAAGAGAGAGAACACAATGATATACAGAGTTGAAGCCCGTCGAGAGTGAGACAGGAATAACCTTAAACAGGCGTAGTAGAGAATTTTGCTAGGTCCGAGATGACTTGCAACAATTTAGGGGTTAATTACATGAATTGTAATCAATAATATCGTTGATAATATAGGCCATGTCAGGCCTTGAGACACTGGGAGTAGTATTTTACTATAATTCGCGTACTAACGGGGGTTTTCTGGGGGTTTTTTTCCTCTGTAGAGCGTTCAGAGGCGAGAGGGTGCAGAGTCTTTGCTTACTCTTCTGCTTCTTGATTACTACTGTTGTGTACCGTGCCGTGCGTCGAGTCGACTGCCTTTTTCGGAGCAGGTCGCATAAATCAGGGATGTTGGGTGGCAACTGACCAATCACAACAACAAAATAGATCCATTGCTCATAGGGTAATGAAGAAATCTGTAATTTTACCGATTCAAAAGGGCTGCTGTTGCCAGTTTTACAGGTATCCTTTTTTTAGAATATTATTTTTATGATAAATAATAGAAATTGAGATTATATTGATAAACTACAAATAATCACATTTTAAACTTGTTGTGGGTTATTTCCGCAACACTTCAGATTATTGGAAATATTTCGATAGTATGATTTTAAGAAGTCGAATGGAAATTGCTCAAGAGAAACGTTTACTAAACGAAGTTATTTACCATGTGGGCAATTTCAAATTTATTGTGGGCCTAAGCGTAGCTCGAGGAATGCTGCCAGAAGTCAAAATAATAAATTCCATGCTAAATTTACCTGAAGACCAAACTTGCATAACTCTAGCAGATTTCGACTGGTACGAATTTCTGGAAAAGGTCTCCAAGATGGTGAATGAAACTGATGCTGTCGTCAAAGACTCTGCTGAACAAGAAGTGTCTGGCCAACAGGCGTTATCCGAGAATTTCACTCTATATGTTATATCGTTTTTCGGTGAACAAACTTTAACTCTGAAGTCGGGTAATTGTACATTGTGTTTTTGTTTAGATGATGTTAAACAAATTTTAAGTGTTAGTCATCTTATCAATTATAGGTTAAAATTAGTTAAGAATTTGAATTTCATTGTATACTATGATGATTACCTACAATATTTGAATGTAACTCACAACAACAACAACAATAATCTTATGCAATCAATTATCAGCATGTGTAACTTGAATAAGTGTGAATGTAGCTACTACTTTCTAGAACTTGCTTCTATGAACCTAGATAAAATTGTTACGGATTTAGATAAGCTCAACGCATGTATCCAATTTAATTAGTAGTAATAATAAATATTTAAAAACAGTATTGCTTCTTATTTTATCCACAGTCTAATAGCAACCTTCAAAGAACCAAAATGTCTGAATGTATTACTGGTAGCGAATACCGTGATCAATCTTCCTGTATAAGACAAGCTGTTTGTTTGCTACGTACTAGATTAGAATCAGACATGTACTTTTTACTTCGAGAACTTTTTGAGAAAAAACCCTCTAATGGATTCAGCTGGATGCAAGATGTAGAAAAACATAAAAATGGTGTCAATTGTTGTAATCTATATCTGGATAATTCCATCTCCTTGGAGGACCTATGTGTGCTAATGAATAAATATGGACTACATGAACAATTAAAACAGCATGTCGCTAAATATATGTGTGAAGATATGATTTTAAAATATATAGGTTATGATGAAGTTGACTAATTTATACATTTTTTAAATAATAAAAGTTCCTAATAAAAATGCTTTTCATTAATAATTATCAAAACACCAATAGTAATTCGTTGGAGCTGCTTGTTTATATTAACTAAGTATATTACCGGGTTTGTTTATTGTCATTTTCAGTCCTAATTTCCAGACTAGTAGACAATGACACATATAAGTTTAATGAGGCATTATTTTACATTCTTTTTTTTTTGTATTGACGATTGGCTGCTATTTTATTGAAATTCTTTGAAAAAAAATGGACCGCGGTCGGATACATTAACTAAGTGTATTTCCGAGTTTGTTTATCGTTATTTATTTTCCAGTACTAATAACGTTGCGCCCGTAGACTAAACAGGTTCGTTCCAACCCCCCGTTTTCGTATCGTCATGAAACGGTTTCGAAACTGTTAGGATCGATTGCAGGCGCATGCGTTGACCTTGCACGGTTTTATCTTGGTACAGAAACAACGGGTAGTTGGAACGGTTTCAGGACCGTTTTCATAATGACGTTTGACAGTTCAAATAACTAACCCTAAATTTGTATGTTTGCAAACAAAATAAGAAAATAAAGATTTAAAAACTGAATACTGGAAGAAAGTGTCTGTTGGGATTTGCAAATATGGAAAATACCTACAGCAGTAAGTAGAACTTTTCAAGATGTTATTTTTTCCAGTTAGGCTAATAAACAATGTAATTCAATAATTTTAGATATGCAGGAGGAATTGCAGGAGTTTGTCATTATTCTAAATGAAAATGAGGCCACAAATATTGTAAAGCCTTCAACTTCAAATAATGATGAAATTAATAATAATATGGAATATAAATGGAGTGTTAATAATACAAAATTACTGATAGATTTTTATAGTAAATATAGAAATAAAGTAGGGACACTACAGATACGATCCCTGAAAAAGCTGTGGGAGATAATAGCTGAAGAGCTACGAAAACTTAGAATAAATGTTACTCCCAATAATTGCCTCAATCGCTGGCGAGTTCTTGAAAGGAACTATAAGAAATTTATAGACAACAATAGCAAAACAGGTAAGATATTGCTTTTTGGTGTATTCTTTTAAAGGATTTTTTTGTTTGATCATAGGTAGAGGACGCCAATATTTTGAGTATGCAAGTGAAATGGAAGAAGTGCTTGGTAAAAAGAGAAATGTTCACCCTGAGCTATTATTAAGTTCAAACACGAAAGATGACCTAGAACACGAATTGGATACCAAAGAAAATAATGAACCGATTGAAAAACCCCCAAAATTAGTGAGGCCCTTAGAACCTGAATCACCTCAGGAGCTTGAAGGTGCAGAAAACATTAATCAACCTGGTACAAAACAAAATGAGGAAATGCCTAAAAGAAAGCCTTTAAGATCAAACATCTTTCGAAAAAAGGCGAGCACCATGGAGAAAATGCGGTTGGATCGAAAAATATATTATGATGAGAAATTGGTTATTGAAAAAAAGAAAATAGAACAGATGGAGAGAAGAAACCAGTTAATTGAAGAAAGAAACAGCATCCTAAGAGAAAATAAGTGCAATTGCCAATGCATAGGTTCATTTCCTAGCCTGTGTTAAGTTTTATCAATGTTTTAATAATTTAAGTTTGTAGGTATTGACGTTTGTTTGGATTTTAAGTTTATTAGGGGGTACTTGATTAATTTACTTTTTGTGATATACCTATGTATGTTTTTGTTCCTATATTTTTGTTAACTTTGATCTCAATATTAGTTACTTACTTGAGCAGGTTTATTGATTTTGTGTTTTTTGTTTATATAAGTTTATGTAGGTAAAGTGTAAATAAAAACTATTGAATATTTAACTGAAAATCATTGTTTATTGAGTTTTGAAAAAATATAAATAAAAAGATTTTGCTATAAATTTAAGAAAAAAATACATATATGAAGTTTTACATTGGTAACGTATTAACTACTCTGTTTCTCAGAGCTTGTGCTCCAATATCATCCGCTTCATCACCATCATCTTCTTCATCTTCCTCATTGTTGGGCTCTTCGGGCGCTGGTTCATAATTCAATAAAAATTCATCTTTTCTTGCAATATTATGAAGAACACACGCTGCTCTAATGAAATGCACAATAAATCTAATGTTTCGTAGCTTTACATGATATAATTGTCTAAATTTTTGTTTCAGAATGCCAAAACAATGCTCTATCACGTAACGGTTTCTAGCTAGTTTTAAATTATAATTTGCTTGTCGTCTAGTAAGGTTCCCCCTGTCCTTATAGGGTGTTAATAAATTTGTTTGCAGAGGATATCCGCTGTCTCCTAATAGAAAGTACTGTCCACATTTATCTTCTAAATTATTTTTTAAGGAAGAGTTTCTAAACACCCGGCTGTCGTGTACAGATCCCGGATACCCAATGAAAATATCTATCAATTGATTATTATGGTCACATACAGCTTGCATCTGTGAAGATAAAAAAAAAACAATGTTAATATCTTGAAATTACTAATTGCTTCAAAAGTTCTACCTACCTGAATAGAATAGAACCCTTTTCGATTCAAGTAGGAGTCTGGGTCATTCTCAGGCTTATCAATTTTAATGTGACAACCATCTATAGCACCTATAACATTTGGAAAGCCATTTGTTCTAAAATGTTCTTCATTCAGACGTTTTTCAGCATCATTTGGCCATTTTATAATTTCGGGAGATAAGTTGCTCAAAAAATAGGTAACTCTACGTATGATTCTATTTATAGAGCTTATGGTTACATCGAAGCGATCGGCCACATCCCTGAAGCTAGCAGTCTGATGACCCACATACCACAAAAATATGAGTATCTAAACAAAAGAAAATACATAATGAATGATAGATATTAGGTATGTTTCTGCAGAAATCACAAACCAGTCAGAGCGAATTTCATTAGTTGAAAACAGTCAGAAAACTAGTTTTAACCAATGAAATTCACTCAAACTGGTTTGTGATTTCTGCAAAAACAGACCTATTACTATACCTTGAATCATAATCAAGTACTTACTTGATGTTCAGGTAAAATATTTCCATATTGTCCAGGTTGGTTGTTGAAATACTGGCTATGTTGAAATCTATCACTGATATCAGCTGCAACTTCTCTTGACAATCGGAAATGTTCGAAAAAATTTTCATCTGAGTAGCGTGGAACTGTTTCTTCTAAAACATACAAAAAAAAACACATATTAATTACATATAAAATTCTTAGCAAGCAAGAAAACAATAAGGTACTTTTTAAATATTATGAGTAGTGTCAAAATTATAGTTTCTCTGAGATTTCACTACCTCATTTTATTATTTTATTTATTTACTAATTTTTTATGATAACCTACCTAAATAATTTTCGTTTTTTTGCCGATGTTCTCCAAGGAGCACTAAATCGTCTTCGCTTGACTCAATTTCCGAGAAATCACTGTCGCCTTCGTCATCACTCATTTTCTATAATTTATTATTCACTCTTTTTATTTAAATCGTATCAACTCGAACTGAAACTAACTTACAAATCAATGTCGACCTTCTTATATATCCCTAAATCTATTCCTGTAAAATCTAGAATACACACGATAATCTTATTTTCCAGATTAAAGTAGAATAATTCGCTAGATTCTAGTATTTTCACCATCGATTCTTGTATAGGTTAGATTGGAAATTGCGGGAAACTGGTTGTTTAACAACAAAAACAGGTGACAAAAATTGAATTGCGCATGTCAGTCATGGATCAGCCACGCGGTTCTTGCTTTCCACTCGGGATCGAAATGACGGTGCTAAAACCAGTTCTCGAACGATCCCAGGTTTGGTTGGAACGACAACGAAACTGTACGGTAAACGATCGTCCCTCGGTTGGAACGCGATTAACCTATGGCGCATGCCCATGACCGTACATTGAACGGTTTTTGGCTGGGTTGGAACGAACCTAAATGACATCATATGCTATAAGTCTACACGATGATGGAGAGATTTCGCCTTTCCCCACACTTCTCCGATCCTGATAGAAATTTTCAGTTAGCAACACTTCTATGGTCTCTTTTTTTCATCATCGAGCAAGTTGAGACTTGTTTGCAAGCTTAATATATACAAGGCAGTAGGTATCATATTTTTCTGATAATTTTTTAAAATAATACTTATTTTTTATAGTACCTAATTATTCATTATTTAATCAACTAACCCAACGACGTGGGGGTTAACCTATAACTAACCCAAACCAACCCTTGCTCACCACTGCTGTATACAGGCCTCTAGCCCTGTATCGGTGTATACAACCCTATCTCTAGACCTGTATAGCTGTTTCTTGGCGCTCGCTCTCGGACTATAGTTAAATGTGGTACTCGAGACGCGTTTGGAGGTCATTGTAAAACAAACACTTCTGAAATAATTATTATTGTATGTACGTTGAGGTTTAAATCGGTTTTTATGATACTCGAGCTTCAGTCTTTTTCTGTCTGTCCAACAGCGAACATTATAATTATTAATTATTGCACATTTTTTTTATTCTGACCAAGTAAGTAAATCTTTTATATACTAATATCAATACCTACAGAATATTTTTTAGATATGGATTTGAAATCAATCAACGAGTCGTGCCTCTTCAAGAATCAAAAAACACTTGTGAAATTACAAGACATGGAGCCTGGCAGAAAGTACCCAATATTTTCTGCTAAAAAAACCCAAAGTAAATTCGGACCGAGTATCCTCATTGAACTTGACGATAAGGCAGTGTTTCTTCCAAAACGTACCACCAAATCATTGGAAGATCATATTGAGCAGTTTATGGATGGAAAATATTCAATAATATACAGAGGCCAGAAGGATGTAGGACGACCAAACCAAATATCGCTTTTTGAAATAGTTGAGTCTTAAAAAATGTATGTTTTTAAATAAAAAATTGTTTGAGGTTAGTATTTTTTTTTTCTTAAGCCCATCTGTTTCTTTATATTTCTTCATGTATAAATTCACGTATTTTTTCATCTGTACATGTAGAAATATAAAAAATACACAGTAATGTTATACGGGGTTTATAGATGGCGCAGAGAGCGGGTAAGTTGGAGTAGTTCAGGTAGATGACATTGACAGCTGACATTGACAGCTGACATTGACAGCTGGCATTGACAGCTGACTGACATTGACAGATGACATTGACAGGTGACTGATATTGACAGGTGACTGACATTGACAGGTGACATTGACAGGTGACTGACATTGACAGATGACTGACATTGACAGGTGGCATTGACAGGTGGCTGACATTGACAGGTGACATTGACAGGCGACTGACATTGACAGGTGACTGATGACGCCACGGCGTCGCGACGCCCTGGTTGGCACATGCGCAGACGTCACGGATGCGTCGGAGGCGTCGGAGGGCGTAGAACTCTCAAACTATATCTACTCGGGTCTTCAAAAAAAAAACCAATCGAAGATTGCTATGGTTTTTCAAATGTATGTCTTAGCAATATTTGCCTTTAATTTTGTCAATGAACTTTAATGTCAAAATGTCACGTCAAAAATCCTGACCAATAAAGAAACATTAATGCGACGTACGTTTTCGTAATTAAAGCAATCTTCGATTGGTTTTTTTTTTGAAGACCCGATATCATTGGATTCGCTTTAAAATACTGCATTTAGTAATGTTATGAAAGTGATATGTTTCTATTCTAGTTTTTGAGCTAGGGCAAAAATACTGAAATAATGGAGTTCACAGCCCTCTACAAAGATAAAATTGAATTTGTATTTTTTCAAAATTAAGTAAAGTACCTATGTGGAGTCATTTTAGGATGATCATGGCACTCTAGTTAAAAAATTAAAATTTAATTAAAAAACAAAATTTGGACAAAAATTGATTCAAAAGTAATGCATTAGGATGTAAAACGATCTAAAGAATCCGGAAAACAAAAAATAAACAGGGTGTGTCATTTAAAAATCAAAAGTTGCGGTAATTTCCGGTGAAATCGGAAGTCAGGAAAACTTGTCATAAATGCATAAAAATAGCGTTTGGTTAGAATATCAACCCTACCAAGTTTCGTTGATATCGATAGACAAATAAAAAAATGGCAGCCAGAAAATGATCTCGTGGGCACCCGGTATATATACTTGTATATTTTTATTATTTTTAAGTTTTTTTATGAAATAATTTTATTACTATACTCTCAACTGTTCTATAAATAAAAACCATCCTATATAAATATCAACAACACATTAATTAAAACAGTTTAAGCAGGTTAACGCGTAAACTAATGTTTACACGAAATGGATATAAAAACCGATGCAACCCATGGTATCGGCACCCATTTGGGTCCTCTCTCCAAGGTCTCCTTACCCAAAGGAGCAGTAGCTACACTTCTCTCAAGGGTCGCCTTACCCCAGAGAGTCTTGGAGCAATCCTCTTCAGGGTCGCCTTACCTCAGAGAGTCTTGCCCTTCAGTGCATGGCGGCTATATACAGGGTGGGCCAATGGAAACTTTCCACCCCGATTTTTTGGATTTGAAATGTAAATATGGAAAAACGCTCGGACACGTCGATTTTTGATTTGAGGGGGAACCATTTTTCAGTTTTTTCCATGCCCGTAGCTTCAATCCCCTAGCTAGGGGGAGAACAACCCCCCAAATTTGAATGGGGGATAGGGGTCGTGTCATACATCCTTTTAAAGGTCTCATCGAGTTATTTATGACCCTAGAATTTCATTTCATTATTTTCATCCGTAACGGAATGACAGCTTGTCAAAATCTTGGAAATAGACCATTGTTTTAGTAGGAGTAAAAGGGATACTTACCTCCCTTAAAAAAAATACTTACAATTTACAATTCACGTGTACACCTAATTGATAATAATAATAAAACAACTTTAATTGTAAGTATTTTTTATCAAGTGGGGTAAGTAGTATCGCTTTTACTCCTAAAACAATAGTCTATTTCCAAGATTTTGACAAGCTGTCATTTCTTTACGGATAAAAATAATGGAATGAAATTCTAGGGTCATAAAGAACTGGATGAGACCTTTAAAAGGATGTATGATACGACCCCTATCCCCTATTAAAATTTGGGGGGTTGTTTTCCCCCCAGCTAGGGGGTTGAAGCTACGGGGATGGAAAAAAACTGAAAAATGGTTCCCCCTCAAATCAAAAATCGACGTGTCCGAGCGTTTTTTCATATTTTCATTTCAAATCCGAAAAATCGGGGTGTAAAGTTTCCATTGGCCCACCCTGTATATACTTGCGGGAGCCAGTTTCACCTCCGTATAGAATATAGATACATGGAGCCCCAAACGCTATAGTTGGAGAGCTGGCGTCAAAAACATGCAAGAGTTTTCGCAAGGTGGATATTTTCAAAATAGGTCGTACTTTAGTGTTAGAATGCTAGTGTACCGTCAGCACTCACAGTTCCGGGACAGCTGGCTCTGGGACGCGGGCAAAGTTGTAATTTCAAGAAGCATCTAAACTGTTTTCTCAAAGCTCAAAATTTATAGAAATTTTGCACATTATCTGTTTGAAGGTCACAGATAACGTATGTAAATCGTCAGACGTCTAGTTCGTTGCAAAAAGGGGGTCAGACGGCCTCAAAGTTTTTATTTTATGGCATTTTCTTCGGTGTCCTGTCAAAATATATTTTTGCGGGTATTTGACAAATATATTTGAAGAAAATGCCATAAAATAAAAACTTTGAGGACGTCTGACCCCCTTTTTGCAACGAACTAGACGTCTGACGATTTACATACGTTATCTGTGACCTTCAAACAGATAATGTGCAAAATTTCTATAAGTTTTGAGCTTTGAGAAAACAGTTTAGATGCTTCTTAAAATTACAACTTTGCCCGCGTCCCAGAGCCAGCTGTCCCGGAACTGTGAGTGCTGACTGTACACTAGCATTCTAACACTAAAGTACGACCTATTTTGAAAATATCCGCCTTGCGAAAACTCTTGCATGTTTTTGGCGCCACCTCCTGGACTACTAGAGTCATGTGGCGTACCTACGTTTGGTAATGTACCCACTAGAGAGCAATATACGATAAGTGCCTTTTGTAATTTATGTTTTCCTGAATAGCAACCCCCAACCTCAGGTCCTACCCACACTAGCCGCAAGGCGTGTGACAATACTATTTTATTGCAATCTACAATTGGCGGCAACTCTCAAATAACACCAAAACATAACCTGGAAATCGCTTGCGGACGCGTGAAACTAGCTCGTGGTGTTTTTGGTTTCTCGTTTTTTAAACTGTTCGCGAAACATCCTGGAACTGCGCAGAACTAGTTGCGTACTTATTCAGTCCTTAGAATTGTGCTCAGATGATCGTTTAGAATTGATCAGAGTTTGAAAAAACCCGAACATGTTATATTATTTTTTCCAGAGCAGGCGAACACGATAATTGATGAAATAAATCATGAAGCTATTGTAATTTGTAGTGTGGTTCCTTTTACCCAACAATTCTCCCCGAGATTTCTGCCGCCCTTCGATTTTGCCGTCCTGTGCAGGGCCACAGACTGCACGGGTCCTAGAGCCGGCCCTGTCCGTACCGCGAGTGCACAGACATTTTATGTGAAATTATTTTCGCAATTAAAAAAAAAAAAAAAAAACTGTTTCGTATTTTGAAACCCCGATGTTTCAAGGGGGTGGCTTATGTTTGCGCCGCTTATGAATTGAGCTTTAAATCCTAACCCTCAATGTCAATTCGGCTTTTCCAAGAGAGACAGTTAGCACCAGTCGGCAAGGAAGAGACATTGACATTAAATGATGAGCAGCATTTTTTTTTGATTTTGAATCTAGTTTGTAAGTTGTTTCGTTGCTAGACAATTGCTACGCAACTAAAAATTATTTTTATGTCATACGAATACATTATTGTATTTTTATACCGTAAATACCATCTACATAATTCATTACTTTATGCCCGTGCGGGCATAAAGTACACATTATGGCCGGCGCGGGCATTAAGACGCAAAAAACAGTTTTTGATTAACTTATTCTTTATTAACAAAATATAAATTTACGCTTATAAACATATTATTTTTGTCAAAAAATTATGATGTTTGCACACTGATGACAATTTGCGAAGTGACACTTTTTTCCCAGGTATTTATTATTCACAACCAACTGGTATGACATAAAAGTTTGTATGCACCACGGCTGTTAGGGCCTCTAACTGAGGTGTCAACATTTAATTTAGGGATAGATCACTGGATCATAAAGGGGATGGGAATGTCACTGCTAAATAATGCACTCACACTTCCAGTTTTATATCTCTCTATTGTTGCCAAAATAATCGTTTAATAAAGTAATAAATACTGTAACTACATTCAAGTACTTTTAATTATTCACAGGTTAGTTAACAAGTCGCATTTGAGTTATTCGAGAACATTCACTAATCGGTACAAATTCACTAGTTGTAAGTGCTCAATAGTCAATTTAACAATAATTGTCAGTATTAGCGAAACGCTAATATTTTAGTTGAGAGCGCAAGATAAAGTTTATTCTTAATAGAAATCTTCGGGAGTTGAGAGTTTTTATATTTTTAGAGAGCCCTTAAAAAAGGGGAGTGTGATTAACTCAATGTTTTACGCGATATTATAGCACTTGAGTTTTCAATCCAGCAGCCAGAGAGATAAAAAAATAAGTCTTTTTATTTAGAGAGCGAGAGAGAGACTGCACAAGGGTGCAACTAGAGAGAATAATTAAATAATTAGAGAAAAGTGAGCAGGTTCAAACTTGTATAGAGCTAGACGTTTTTACGCACTATTTACTGCTAGTGAAACCACACTACTAAAATCACACTGCTAAAAATCACACTGCTAAAAATCACACTGCGAAGTGAAAAAGATAAGGAATGCATTTTTTCCCTTAGCGACAACAACCAGACTCGATCAATGCAGTACAGCCTGGTACGGCGCCAGCGGCAAAGTTTCACGGCGGGGGGCTTTTTTGCAACGTTGCCACTGTGATCATAAAAAATAAATACGATTGTTTGGCTGTTTCCACAACAACGGCTACTAATAGATATATATACCCTCGGGCGACTTACGAACCCTCGGGCCAGAGGCCCTCGGCTTTGTAAGACTGTCGCCCTCAAGGCATAATCATCTACTTAGTACCCTTGATACATAAATAACTATTATGATTATAAAAAGATTTTTGATACACTTATGTAACTCTCGTCTGATCCAATTTATGATGAAAATAAAGTGAAATGCTTAAAAATTTTCACTATACAGGGTGTCCCACGGTGGATGGCGTATTAGACGTTTACGTTTATGGAGAACTAAAAAGCGAATCATTTTGAAAATTTGGCAACCGGGATAAACGACCATGATCTACACTTTAAAAATATTTTTGAACATGCGGTGTTGCCGCTTCTACTCCAAACTAGTGGCAACATCACTATTTTAAATGGAACACCTCGTATTAAATTGCATATTTGGATTCTACGTAAAATTCTGAGCAGATTTCATGTAATATACCCTATACCTAAGTTCAACTGTTTTAGAAATATTGACAGTTGAAAATTGACTTTTTGCAACTTTGACAGGCTGTAAAACCTAATTGGTTAATTTTAGAGGAAAACCGATTTCACATACCTATCTTAGATTTTGATAAACTATCATTTGACACCAACTTTGAACTTAACCGGAGATTAAATTTAACTGAAATTTTTAATCATGGATTTAATTCTAAGTTGGTGTCAAATGATAGTTTATAAAAATCTAAGATAGGAATGTAAAATCGGTTTTCCTCTAAAATTAACCGTCCAGGTTCTACAGCCTGTCAAAGTTGCAAAAAGTTAATTTTCAACTGTCAATATTTCCAAAACAGTTGAACTTAGGTATAGGGTATATCACATGAAATCTGCTTAGAATTTTACGTAGAATCCAAATATGCAATTTAATACGGGGTGTTCCATTTAAAATAGTGATGTTGCCACTAGTTTAGAGTAGAAGCGCAATGGTCAAAAATATTTTTTAAAGTGTAGATCATGGTCGTTTATCCCGGTTGCTAAATTTTCAAAATGATCCGCTTTTTGGTTCTCCATAAACGTCTAATACGCCATCCACCGTGGGACACCCTGTATAGTAGGTTTTCTAACCCGTTTACACAACAAAAAGTCTTCATTTGAAGATGAACTAGACATCTTTGTAGTATGGAAGTTGCTTTTAAACTGGCCGAAAACTGGCATTCATCGTGTATAGTATTTTTAATTTGGATTGAAACACTAAAAAAAACATCTAAGACGTTTTCTCGCGTTCACTTTTTTGACATTGTTTCAAAACCGGTTTGAAATAGTCAATGAAAACACCATTGCTCGTTTCAAACTTGTTTTGAATCAATGTCAAAAAAGTGAACGCGACAAAACGGTTTTCAATCCAAATTAAAAATACTATACTAATGAGATGACTTGTAGGCGCTGATGTTCGACGCCAGAAATAGGCGCTGATTAACCTGCTTTCTTTGTGTGCGTACCTTTACGTTTTAAGTGGGCAGATCTGACTGGTTAGAAAGTTAAAGTTAACATTTATAATCTTTGACATTCCCAAAAAAAAGTCTCATTATTTTAGAACATTTATTTATTTTATTGGTAGAATATATCACAGCAGAATAATCATGTCTGTACGTTTTTGCGTTTTATTTTGTAATTCTTGGCAATGTCAATGTTTTTCCTCGGCACCCAAAATTCATAAAACTGTAGTATCAAAAATGCCAAAGATATCACAAGTAAATAGGGCCACACTCCACTTGATAAATGACTGAAAAATAAAATAAAATAAATCAATAAATTTCATATTAATTTTTTTTTATACTTGTATAACATCTGCCGAAAGTTTATTGTTTTTTCCTTAGAAACAATTTTATAAACTGTTTCGGTTCTACGAGAAACATCTTGCCAATTGTAATATTTTTCAACTCTTTTATTACATGCATAGGGACATACAATTTGACCGTTTTTAAGATCTTGTATCGCTTTATCTAAACCTGGAAAAAAGTGATTTGAAAATAAGTGGAAAAAAAAATATATAACTTTTACCATCTAACAGTGCGGGTACAGTAGGTTCAGTCAAAATAATAAGGTCTTCAGGAAGTACTTCAGGAATTCCACCGACTTTAGTTGATACCACTTTTAACCTAGAATTTATTTGTCAATACAAATTGAACAATAAGGAAGGACTTGCTTGATTCTCACCCACAAGATGCACCTTCAACTATAGCCATACAATAAGCTTCTGTTAAAGAGGTATTTAAAAAAATATGTCCTTTTACTAACACATTAAGAACTTGAGAATGCTCCAAACTGCCTAATAAAACTACACGATCTTGAAGACCTCTTTTTTCACGTATTTCTTCGAGTAACCTGAAAAATATGCTTGCATCCTTATGAAGCAGTTATCAATATCTGAATAAGCATACCATCTTTTAGGACCATCACCAGCAATCAAAAACTGAACTTCTTTGTATTTTTCACAAATATCTCCAATTATTTGAGCTGTTAAATCAACTCCTTTTCTATAAACAAGCCTTGAAACCACCACAATAGTAACTTTAAATTATATTAAAATTAGATTAAATAAAGTAAACATTCTAGGTAGGTACTCACTTTGTGTCGTATCCCTCTGGGTCGGATCTGGAGTGAAAGAAAAAGTATCCACAGCATTTGGTATAACAGAAACTCGCTTGCAATCCACTCGCCCTCTAAGAACAGTATTTTCTTTGCCTGTATGCGAGACGCAAATACAATGATTACAACTAGCCAAAGATATTTGCAGTAATTTGTTTGTTATCAGAGCACTAGCATCAGCAAACCCAAATAGACTATGATCAGTAAAAACTGTTTTTATTCCCAACAAATTACCAAGTAGCATAGCTTCATGAGCCAAAGCAGAAAACGCCGAATGTCCATGTATAATTTCAATTTCTTCTCTCAGCAAAATATACCGAATCAAAGCAATATTACAAATCATTGTAGGCAAGACACACTGATTATAAAACACTTTTATAGGCAAATAATACACTTTTAAACCATTGGTCATGTATCTTATACCTATTCTATCTTCGTAACTGTGCGTCATTACTATTACTTTGTGTCCTTTAATTAAAAGACACTGAGATAAGTTGAAAATGTGTTCTTCGACCCCTCCCATATTTGGAAAGAAAAAATCTGAGACCATACTGAAAAGTATATAAAGAGTGGTACATGTAATTTCTAAATAGTGATAGGACTTACCAAATTGTATGGCATTTCGAGCTTTCAATCATAGTTGAGAGGCTAATCAGATAAAATTATTGTTTCTGAGCATACTTTAACAATAACGTTGCAAATTTCTATATTAGGTACCTGATCTGGAACAACCTACAACACAACATTACAAAACATATTATTATCTTATAAACACAACAATAATTCTACAAAGTATTCGTGAATTAGGCTATCGACACTGTAATAATCCGAGAAATTAGACCCGTAAATTACAATGTCTTTACTGTAAAAATTAAAAATAATCAAAAACTGAATTTCCGGTATTTCAAATCAGTATCGATAAATTGAAAATGAAACAAATTAACGTGACCCCAAATACAGTCGAAATTATATTATTTCCTCCAGCGCGATGTCATCTCCTAAACATCCGATCAATGAACTTTTTTAAGCGAGGCCATAATAATTAAATCGAATGATTTATGGCATTCTTGAACCAAAAAATATCCGTGACCCCGATAAAATCAGGAAATTGCGACAGAGTTATTCGATTTTAAATGAAATGACGAAAATTTCAAGGAGATCGCATCATCTGAATTGTTATGGACAAAAAAAGTTTGGGGGGATCGAATAATATAAATACCGCGGTTTCAGTTGAGAGAAGAAGAGAGTGGTCAGATGAGTTCGCAGTCCTGTCCAGTTTGAGTTAAAATCTACAGTACCTAATGTGTCAGTCCGAGAAAATATTCGCGGAAAGTTTCTTGTATTGCTTCGGTAACAGTCTTTGAAAAAGTAGCGGAAAATTTTGAAAGAAAGAACAATTAAATTCGTCAACATTTATGTGCGTGCTAGCTAAAAATTTTGAGTAATTAATTAAGTAATTTTACGTGTAAAAAATTAAATGTAAGTACTTTAGTGGTTAATAATTTTCTGACTTTTATCAATGATTCTGAATGATAAGAAGTGAATTAACAATTACTTTTAATGCCTAAAAACTTGAGTGATTTTTACAAGTAAAACTTTTGACTTATAAATGATGTATGACTATGAAGTGGATTTACTTTGGAACATTATTGCACAAATATTAATAACTCGAGTGTTTTGACTATGGAACATTATTGCATAACTTTAATTGCCTTCAGATATAATGACATTCTAATTTAATTTCGCAAAGAAAATATGAAGGGAATTTATAATGCACTTATTAAGTATCGATTTGAGTACGGATTATTAAAGAATCTTGAATTGGATTGTCCAATTGAAGTTTAAGGGCTATAGTAACGAACTAATAAGAATTTAAATAATTTTGTATGTTAGCTAGGATTGCGAAAATAGAAATTGTTCTAATTAAATGAAATGGGATGTTTCGAAAAGAAACTTGTGCATGAAATGAGATTGTTGACGGTAATCATTCAATGTAATGGAGTGGTTAGTTTAAAAACTGTCGTTCTTCATGAATTAAAATTGCTGACGATAATCATTAGACGTATTGGGACGGTTTAATTGAAATTTGTTGTTCATAAAGAAACATTGATGATCTTAAGTGCCGAACTTTTGAATTAGAGTTTTAAATTTCATGCAGAAATTATTGTAAGGTTTTATAAGAATAAGTTAGTAATACCTATATTAATAAACAAATAGGAAATTATTTTGGGTTTATCATAAGCAGTCAGTAAAGGACTTAGAAATTTTAAAGAATTTATATAAATAGGTGAAGGGTAGTTTGATAAGAATTAATCGGAAGTGTTGAAATGAATAAACTTATAAGTTATTAGGAATAGTAGGAATAGGGCGTTTCTTTATTTGTATGGATATTTCAGTGGTCCCTAAAAATGACCTTTGAACGGATGTGAAGTAATTGAATTTAGAAAAATAGTTGAGGCTGTCAGAATTGGAAGATATTTTGCTGATTAAAAATTTTTGGTTTTATGTATATTAAAATATAATTTAGTAAACCTCAATAGTTTGTTTCTCTCTTTTGCGAATGGACCCTTCCATAATTTTATAGGTAGCAGCTCCAAGGAAATAAACACCATCAATATACCGCTCGCCATTTACCATCTAACTAATTACATAGAGTACTTGGGGCGTTTTGCTATAACACTATTGAAACTCTCTCAGACCCTAAATAATATAATATGCGGCAAGGCATGCGGTCAGAACGATTTTCTATCTTTTTTTTCCAGAAAATATCGAAATCATTCCCAAATTAAAGGATATAGCAAGAAAATCTAAGGACATTTGTCTAAAATTGGACATTGGACTAGCGTTAGAAATTAAACACAAACTACAACAAAATTTAAAAAAAAAAAAGAGGTAAAGATGAGTAGTACCTATATTCCCCACACCTACTAATCTGACTGAAATGAATGATAAAGAGACTATACTTAAAAGGTTTAAAAAATAGCTGTACTCCAGGTGTGGATATTGTGGATAACATAATAAAATCAGACTGGTGGTATTATTTGATAACATAGGATTCATCATTGTTCTATTAGAAAACGACATGTATCACAATGAACTCGATCAAAATTGACAATCCATAAAACGGTCCACAACTTTATCGGCCGATTTCCCTCCTCAGTTCGTTTTCAAAAATTCTTGAAAAAAATCAATAAAGCTAGAGTTATAAGCTTTATTGACTCAACTTTTATATTGGACATCAGACAATATGAATTCCTTCCAAATGAAGACCGAAGACATTGGGTGGTACTACCTCTTGGACTACATCTCCGGTGAATTAGATAAATAAAATAAAATAAATGTCACTGCCTTTAGTGCAGTTTCTATTGATTTTCAGAAAGCGTTTGGAGCGGTCAATATTGAGCTTATGCTTGAAAAACTAGGTTTCCATGGTAAATGGCGAAGACAAATGTCTAGATGCAAAAGATATGATTTTTTCATGTAGAAAATCAGAAAACTCTTAATTAGGAACTAATTAAATTATTATCGATCCCAAACCATAAGACTCTGTCTCTGCCAGACAATGTAAATAAAATTACAACTCGGGGGTTCACATCTAGTGAATATGGGCCTGAGAACCCCGAGTTACCCGAGCTGAAGTACTCTTTCCTTCACCCAGTTCAGAGAGTGCTTCCTCTTCTTCTCCTACCTTTCGTATCCGGTTACCCCTGAAAATATTCTTTTATCATCTTTCATCACTTGGAGTGGGAGAATAGCTTTTCTACCACCTAGGCAATAATACCACCCCTCGCTTCCATCCTGTAAATTTGATTCGAATTGTCTGGATCTGGAGCGTGATTTTCGATTTTCAATACTGTTCCCCCCCCCTTTCTCTCCTTTTTTTAAATTTTTTATCCGGATTCGGATCTCCTGGAGGATGGTGTACGATGGAAGTCTACATCAAGTTCAATAAATGAATTGTCTAAGATCAGAGGTATCAACGCCGACTTTCAGTGCACCAACATCTCAGGCACAAAAATTCACATAATATGCTGTCTTAACAGAGACAAAGGTTAAATCTTCTGTCAACCGAATCCTATGAACTTTATACGCGATTTCTCTTTTGCCTTGAAAATGTATTTGATTTTATCCAGGAGACCTATCCGAACTCCAAAATTACATACATATATGTATACTTACTTACATAACTCAGAGTGGCTTAAGTTCCCAAACTAAAAAATCAATGCTGGAAGGATTGCTGAAGCATTTGTCATTTCACACGCCAAAATCCAATTGGTAGAAGAGCGCACACCTATTGCCGATTCCGTTTCTCAACAGGCCAATTTACTAGATTTGTTGCTAAAATCCTTACCACTATTCTTGATCCTTACAAGATCGATGTGTTTGCACCTTTGGACAATTCAGAACACACATTGATTTCCGCTCGAAGTTCTTCTCTGTTATACCCTCAGCCCCTGTTTCAATACCCAATACCTCGTAGGATGTGCCATTATGGAGCTGCAGACTGGGAAGGCCTAAAACTCTTTTTCTCGATAAGATTCCTCCGTGGCTGCACAAGAGGGGAGCGAAATAATTTCCTTAGGTATGGAATTGCACATTCCACACTCCAATAAAACATACTATAGGCCGGTAAATCCTAGTTTAACAAGCAGTGTATCCGATCGGTTGCAAAAAAAAAAACACAACGTAGCGAGCCTGGCGTAGAAACCAATGCGAACAAACTCTATCGTCCTTGGCGGCTCCCAGAAATGATTGCAACCGTATCACCAACGAGGCTAAGAAGTTACAAAAGCAAGAAAGTGTGTAATCGACAGCCCGAGTGGATCAAGGTCCTTTTGGTCCTTTGATAGAAAGAAATTCACAGAGATTCGAAATATAACAAGAAACTCCATATACAGCTTTGCGGACGATAGTAACAAACCGCTCTCTGCAGCCTCTTGCACACGCCTCGCCAGAGAACAGTGATCTTGACACAATTACCAACTGGGGCCTTAACAACCCAGTCAAATTCATTATTTCTAAAACTCAAGCAACAGTATTCTCAAATAAGAAATCTTCCGCCGATGATAACCCAGTTTTTAGGATCTCGGGACAAATCCATCAGTATCTCTTCTTGAGTTGACCGCATCGACCAACTTGTCTTGGCATGATCATGTATCTTGGATCGCCAAAACTGCTTCTTAAGAATTATGTTTTCTGTTTCGTGCAAAAAACTTCTTAACTTCTGAACCACTTTTTCTCCTTTATATCTAAGGCTCAAATCAGATGTATGGAATACTGTTGCCATACCTGGAGCGATACACCCAAGCATTTGTTGGCTCTATTAGATGCATTACAAAGAAGAGCAATAAAAATGATCGATAATTAACTGCCACCGATTCATTGTAATCTCTCGAACATAGACTCAAGGTTGCTGACTTGCCCTTATTATATCGTTATTACCAAGGAAGATGTTCTGTCATTCTGACCATTTGGTCAGATTCATTTCAGCTAGGAGAAGTTATCCAAGAACCACAAGAGCCTCACAGTCATCCCATCCATACTGCCCACCTCTGGAACTTCCTGCCACCTACTTTGTTTCCTGAACGATTTAACCTTAAAGTGTTCAAGCATCATTTAATTTCTTGCGCTCATGGTAAGCAGAGCTGGGCAGTAGCTAGCTACCAAGTAGTTAAGCTACTAACTTAGCTACTTTTTTGGTAGCTAATAACTTATTC